CTGGTAAAACCCCCCCCCCCCCCCCACTATATATAGAGTTTAGATGCATTACTATTGCTAGCTAAAATCAGATTTGCTGTAGCATGTGACACTCTACATCCCACAGCGCCGGCCTGAACGAAAACAACCGAAACAAATGGAAAACGAACAATCTTTAGTCCTACCTGTCACAATGAGTTTATCTTTCTCGCTCTCTCCGGACTTTCCCACGTATCATTTGGTGTCTGTGAGATCAGGCATTGCAGCAATGTTTCAATGGAGTGCACAAGTTACTCTGATTAGGTATTAACCCCAGGCATTCTGTTGGGGCCAAAGGTCACACGTGAGCTTCAACTGCAGAGCCAAGCTCAGGTGATCGCGCTGACCCCCCTCGAACCTGCACAGCGTGACCTTACACCATCTGTGACTTCACGTGTGCGCGCTCTCACACAATGCAGTCATATGACAGTGGCACAATCTGTATCAATAGTCTGCACACCAGGGCCTGCAGGAAATATAAAAGTTCCCTCGCATCAACTTGTTTACTGTCATTAACTGCGAGTTTACTGCATAGCTCACATCAGGGACTGGCCTGGGTTTTGCAGACTTACCCCTACAAATGTGTGTCACATACCTGCATAGGTTGAAAAGAAAGAAAACAAACGTTCCGAAAGATATACGGGTGTTTCTATTGCTAAACCGGTTCTGGAAACTCTACTTGCCTGGCAGTCTCTGGCTTCAATAGTTCCTGAGTCACCGATCCGGATCAAACATGCAGCCAGTGACATCAAGGGACATGCAGAAGCTCTGCTCCGCAAAGGCAGCCTATGTATTTTCTCCTCATAGGTTTCAAAGTGTAACGCGTGTTACTTCAGGGGCATTCATTTTTTTTTTTTTATAATGATCGTTGTAATAGTGATCACTGTTAAAGGAGAACTATGGGGTCAGCGTTTTTCCCCATAATTCTCGCCAGGGTCACAGGAGGACATAAACTAGCGTCCTCCCGTCACCCAAAGCTCAGTATCTAGCGAGCTACAGCTCACTAGATACTGAGACCGCCGCAGCCGGGACGGATCCCGACATTACTGTTGAGATCCACCCAGCTGCGTGATTGACAGCTGGCTCTGCCTATCTAGAGGCAGAGACAGCTGTACCCTCCCCCGTTCGTTCCTCCAGTCAGCGCTGGAGGATCGGAGTGGGAGGGGGGGAATCCCTGCAGGGAGCCGTGAGTGACAGTCAGGGAGATGATCGAGAAGTGATCGTCAGCCAAAATGACACATTACCACCACAATTCAAAGTTGAGTAGAGATTCAATACGCTTAAGTTTTATCGTCTCAAAGGCCTGGTCTGTTCTTATGATGTGATGATCTGGTCTGTTCTTATGATGTGATGATCTGGCCTGTTCTTATGATGTGATGATCTGGTCTGTTCTTATGATGTGATGATCTGGTCTGTTCTTATGATGTTATGATGATCTGGTCTGTTCTTATGATGTGATGATCTGGTCTATTCTTATGAGGGTTGATGGTCCAAGCAGGACCCCCTCCACCCATAGCTCCATTTTCCATACTGTATTTTTTACAAGAGCTTTCTCTTATCTTGAGAAATGCCTATGTGAGTTCTTGTGGGCGGCTACTAGCATCTGATTGGTATATTTACTTATTCATTAACCAGGTTCAAGCAATTGTTACCCAGGCAAAGTGGATATGTAAATATATCCCAATAACTATAAGAATATTCACATGAACACCCCTCGATTTGAGGATTCTTAGACAGAAGAAGTAGTTCAATCAGCAATATACATTTAATGGTAGGGTTACATATTCACAAATAACCAGGGCTTGAAAAATCTGCTTGTCCTCTCGTCTGGGACGAGAGAACGGCAGAGCCCGACGAGTAGCTTCCCGGCCGGCCGGGAGCTTTACATTCAAGACGCCCGATCGCTTTTATTACTAGCAGCTGTCACTGCTGCTGCTGGTCCCGAGATCCGCTGTGCCAGTGCGGCTGGGACCGGCACGGCTGCTCTGTGACAAGAGATGAAAGGGAGATCAGTGCACCAGTGGCGTAACAACCGGGGTGCAGCAGGGGCGCGGGCCCCGGGCGAAAAGTGAAGGGGGGGCGCCGGCCGAAAATGGCACTTTCGGCTAAATGCCGAAAGTGACATTTTCCTGCCGTTTTGCCGGCGCGGCCGTGA